TAAGCATGGAATCAATTTTTGTGTCAATTAAATTGTGTGTTGGGGACCCCATAAAGTCCATATTTTTCTTAATAGTATAATTCAATGACATTTAAACAAATGTTCGGTCCCGTGCTACTTTCTAATATTCGTATTTTTTTTCATGTTTCTGCCACAATTTCCAACTGAATGAGTTCCAGTTTTACATTTCGGAGTTTATTTCATATAGACCAAGCAAAGATGCCGAGTAAGGGCAAAAAGAAATGAAAAAAGTGGCCAAGACTCCAAAAATAGCTTAAATCATATGATAATTATATCAAAACGTAATCACATTTTGCAAGGATGTTTTTATTTTCTCAAATTACCAACATTTGCCGAAATTAGTATGAAAAATAATTGTAAAATATATTTGAAATTGGTTTGTACCCTTACACGGGGGTTATAACCCATATCAAGACCTGCAAAACGATTTAAGATTTGTCTTGAAAGTTTGGGAAGAATTTCTGGAATGACATAAATCCTTTTCTTACTTAATGTCCAATTCGCTCTACTATTTTCGCACTCTTTTCATTCGGTATTTCACTAATTGCAGTCCCAATCAATTTTTCATGTTGAGTTCTGGACGGATTATTGTCATATGAAAGAAGTAGGTCCACGCTTTGAAATAAGCCACATTAAGCTTTGTCGGTCATTTTTATTTCTTAAAATGTGTTCGCATCTTCCAGCTAAAGCACGATGTAGGTTCTGGAATTAAAAGCTGGATGCAAATTTTAGACATGAAAAATCGCCATTTAACCTCGTATTGCGCTCTCATTTCATTTTAAATATTATTCATTCAGAATGCAAACCAAAAAAAAAACAATTCAATATAGTATGTTAAATTAAAACAAAATTACCCCAAGATTTTTTTTCATTAACATTTTTATTGACATATTTTCGCGCAATTTTTTTTTCTTGGCAAGATACCGTTCCAAAATTATATGAATTGTCAAAATCCATTAAGCCGTTCTTGAGTTATTAGTGTAGTAACTAACATAACTTTATTTTATATAGTGGAAATAATTCTCTATTTTATATCCTCTTCTGAAATTATATATTTCCACTTACCCAATGGAAACATAAAATCTATAGTTTTATCCGTTGTCGCTTTGTACTAAAACATTTAGTGTATTAGAATTCAAAAAGAAAAAAAAAACACTACAAATGTATATTCGAAAACCGTAATTCAAAGTGGAAAAAATCATACAATATAAAGCATTGCTATTGTACATTTCAAAAGTCAAAATGAACATTTTCAAATTTCACATTTTTACGCGATTTTCTTGGATTTTATCCTTTTCTGCCAAGAGACCAAGAGTTGTGCGACCAAAATGCATGTTCATATATTTTGGTGAATAGTAATTAATAAGAAATTATTTCTTTTGCAAGGTGTAATATTTCTTATAAATAGTTACCGTTTAGCCGTACCTACTTATATTCGGTAGCCACAATTTAAAATTGAATCGGATGCATTTTGTCACTTGGGTTTCCGTTTGAGTGAAATTCGACCCTACCTACAATTTTTGGTATGTATGGGTTGTGTAGTCTATATATATGAAAATCAATTGTTGTTCGTTGGTAATGGAATCAGTTGGAACAGCTGGACCGATTTGCATAATTTTTTGTACAAACGTTCGTCATACCTCGAGTTAAGTTTTTAATGAAAAAAAATTGACCACGACTACTGTTACCCTCACTATTTTGATTCATCTAAAATCTTTATATTTGCCAGATAATAAAAACATCGAATCCCTAGGGTTGAAGGGAAAGCCAACAGTATCCCGTGAAATAATTTTCAAAACGATGTCTTCATTATCTGGCAAATATGAAGATTTTAGATGAATCAAATATATATATATATATATATATATATATATATATATATATATATATATATATATATATATATATATGTGTGTGTGTGTGTGTTAGTTACTACGCTTATAACTTAAGGAACGCTGTCAAAAAAGGATAATATCCACAAAAAAAATCGCGTAAAAATGTGATGTATTAACATATTCATTTTGACTTTCGAAATGTACAATAGTAATGTTTTATTTTGCATGTTTTTTCCATTTTGACTTAATTTTTTCTAATATACATAGATGATATCGACATAATTTAACGCGGAACAGAATAGATGATATCGAAATAATTTAACGCGGTCACACCAAAGTTAAAAGATTAAGATTACTTTTTCAAAATCGCTAAACAATCAAGAAAAAGGAGATCACAAAAATTCTTAAATCGGGAAAATATCGAAAAAAAAAAATTTCAATGGAATTGAATTTTAAAATAATAGTACATTCTATTGACAAACTTTGTAAGGATTTTTAAACAGTTGCTGTTATTGTTATTCCTTTTTTCCAATTTGTATTATCATATTGAATTCAGTGAAATTTTTGTGAACAAAATAAAGAATAATTTTTCATAATATTCAATTTTTCACCAAAAAAAAAAAATGAAATAAGTGCGAAATACGATGTTAACTGACATCTACCTTTCAACTCCAGGGCCTACATCGTGGTTCAGCTGGAAGATGCGCACACACATAAACAAACAAAAAATGACCGAATAAGTCTAATGAGGCTCATTTCAAAGCGTGGACCTTCTTCTTTCAATATTCGTCCAATGAGAGCTCAAAATGCAAAATTTTTTGGGAGTACAAACAGTAAAATACCAAATATAAAGTGTGCAAAATAGGAGAGCGAATGGGACTTTTTGTAAGAAAAGGATTTCTATCCTTCCAGGAATTCTTCCCAAATATTCAAGATACCTTAAATCGCTTTTGCAGGTTATAATATCGATCATAGGGCCCATATTGGTCTTGACCACATTCATCAATCGATTTGGCTAAAAAATTGTATTTATGCTACCCTGGGGTAAGGAACCATCATACAGATAATTGCCACATCGGAATTTCTTTAAGTAAAGTCCCCACTTTGGAATATCCCTAAGTCCACTTTCACATCTAATGTGTGGTCAGAAAAGAAAATTTTGTATCCTATTGAATTTGTAACCCCCAAGAGAATATTGGTTAGGAACGTAGATTTGGGATGTACATCTGTATGAAAGTAGCACGGGACCGAATATTTGTTGAATCGTCTTTGAATTGTACTATGATGAAAAATTTGGACTTTATGGGGTCTCCAACTTACAATGTAAATGACAAATAAAATTAATTCCCATCTTACGGTGATGGGTATAAAATAGTAATTATATTTGACTATTCTGAAATCAATCTGCCCTCAATTATGAGGTGGATAAAACTATTTTTACTTACTTAAATCACGTGATTTTTTTTCAGTTTGACATGCTATGTTATTCTGCTTTATTTTTCATTTGGCCTCTATTTGTCATCTTGGATTATAAAAGGTGAAGAAAGTTTTCAATGTAGGTCGATGTTTCGGAGTAGTGCCCATATAAAGGTACCTCCTGATTTTACCATATTTCAAAGGATTTGGCTAAAAATACATAAAAATTTCAACATATCTACAAATTTAGAATTTTCTCCATGTAATAGTACCCCCTCAAATCCACCTTTTGGTTGAAAAGTTTTTGGCAAACAGACCGACATGGTTAGGCGTTAGAGGACTCTAATTCACAATCTGAGGTGCTATTGGGTTTAAAGATGAAATTAACTTTGGCTATACTTAAATCATTCAGCCCTCAATTATGAGGTGTATAATCTGGAGGTGTTATCTGGTTGCCATAACAAAATGTTCAATTTTGAGTAAAAAATACTTCTCGAGGCATCAAAACATTTAAAAGCTCAACGTACTTTTAAACAGTTATTGCCGGTATTGATTTCACAATACTCAAAACATAAAAATGTCAAATTACAGTTCATTCGGTAGAAATTGTAACAAAAACATGCCGTAATTTAATCGACAAAGATTTCTACTTTTAATATATATTTATAATAGTTAAATTAAACTCATATTTCCAGGATTTCTATTTAGAAATTAATAAAATAAAATTTTTTTAGGGTCCATTTTATATATCTTGAACATACATAAAGGGCCTCAAATATTTTCCTTTATACTGCGCAAAATGTAAGATAGAGTTTTAAATTTTATGTAATTCTATGGGTTATATAAAGAATCATTTGTACAAAATATGTTTCAGGTTGGTCAGCATTGCTCTGCATTGTTGGTCTTTTTAATTCCTTTAATGTTGGTTATTTGAGATTTTAGAAAGAACAAAACATTCTTTCAAAATATTATAAGTATAGGACCAAGCTTTGGTATAACCCTTATATGAAGGTATCCGCTAATTTCAACTATTTCCAGGAACTTGGTCACATTCTAGGTCACCTCTTCGCGGAAACTAACGCCCATATAAAGGTACCTCCTGATTTTACCTATTTCGAGGGTTTTGATTACATTTTGGAATCGATCTGGCTTAAAATGTGTGTTTTGGCTACTTTGGTAGAGAACCATCTTACACGGGACTATTATAAACAGTTGATGTATACTGTTGAATAAATGTGCTATATTATTTGGGTTTCCAACTCTCAAATTAAAACCTCTGGCTGGAAAATAGGATCTGGTTTTTTGAAACACTATAAATCGCCCGGTAGGTGAACCTATATTGACATTTTGGAAATGCATATTTATTTCTCTTTAGTCGAGTCATCATTTATACTAAAAATTGTGCCACTTCTGTGAGCCAGATGTGTGAATTATTATGCTTTAAAAACTATGCGTTAAAGGCTGAAACTACAGACCGGCAACGCGGTCTGGGCAATATAGTAGTTTTATAACTATTGTTTTTAGTAGGTAGAACACATTTTTGCAAACAATTTTTGAGTCTAGGATTTTATTATGTTTTCAACTAGGACTATTATATTTTCAACTAAACGTTTTTTCATTTGGAAGCTAGTGCTTCATTCTTTCCCTATATGTCGTTAACGCATATTGATGTTTATATTATAAAATACAATTCATTACTAATAATTTGTGTGTAATATTTTTTTTAAGATCGTTGATAGGTCCATGCCTGTATTCAATAAACAATTCTACTTTGGCCGTGTGAAGGAAGACGTTGAACTATTTTCTGCATTGTCTGTGAACATACAAGCGGAGAGTCCATTGGAAAGAAACTTGATTTATACCATATCAAATGAAGATTTTTTTGAAATCGACTACAGAACAGGTGAGTCGGGGTTTAAATGAACGGAAATGAAAAAATCCACTCTACTCATGCAGTATTTATTTGTACGTTACATTTGAATTTAAGTTTGTTTGTTGTAAAATTTAGTGTTCTTTCGAAGGCATTGTTTATTTACAAAAATTGAGTTCAGTATAGGGTTTAAAATTAAAAAGCTGTCATTAAGAAGAAACTTGACATGATTTGAACTCAAAACAGCAACGCATAATCATGGTACAATAATTACAAAGTAGGACAGAATGATTAAATTTGAGAAACATAATTCAAGATCGAGTTCCTAATATGATTGCAACTCTTTTTCACTCCAAAACGTAAACATCTGTTTCTCTCAAAAGAATCCCATCGTACCAACAACAAACAAATATAACATTAGACAAATACGACAACAAACAAATACAAAAAAAAAAAAAAAAAAACAGTAAAGAATGTCTTAAAGTCGGGCGGGACCGACTTTATGATACCCTACACCACTTTGCTAATTTAGTAGAGCTTCGCATAACAATTAAAAGTTTTTATGGGAGAATTCAATCATGATTATAATTATAATTTAAAGTTCAAAGGACTAAATATGCCGAAGCATTTGTATCTTTTAAATTCGGAATTGTATTGCCCATTTGGTGCACAATTAATTTGAAATCGGATAAAGATATATATGGGAGCTATATCCAAATCTGAACCGATCTCGATAAAATTTGGCAAAGATATTTCTGAGCTGTATTTGATATATTTCCCTGAATATCTTTGTTACGGAGTGCATATTACGGTTGTGGGTAACAAAGATAACAAATCGGATGAATAATATATATGGAAGCTATAGCTATATCTGAACCGATCTTCACCAAATTTGACATACTAGCTTCTAAACTCAATTCGGTCGTAAGTGCCAAATTCCATCCCATTTGGACAAATATTAGACGTTTGGTGCACAATAAATGGCAAATCGGACGAAGTTATATATGGGTGCTATATCCAAATCTGAACCGATCTCGATAAAATTTAGCAAATGTATTTCTGAGCTGTATTTGATATATTTCTCCAAATATTGTTGTTGCATAGTGCATATTACGGCGGCGGTGGACAAAAATAACAAATCGGATGAACAATATATATGGGAGCTATAGCTATATCTGAACCGATTTCGATCAATTTTGGCATACATATTTTCAGGCCTAATTTGGGTGTATATGCAAAATTCCATAAGATTCGGGCTGATATTACACGTTTGGTGCACAATAAAAGGCAAATCGGACGAAGATATATATGAAGGCTATATCTAAATTTTGACCGATTATCTCCAATTTCAATAGGGTTCGTCCTTGGGTCAAACCAAAGATCTTTGCAAAATTTCATCTGGATCGGGCAATAAATGCGACCTGTACTTTGTTTACAAAAATACATGGACAGACGGACAGACGGACGGACAGACGGACGGACGGACATGCATAAATCGACTCAGAATGTGATTCTATGCAGATCATCAAAAGGAACTATGGGTCTATCTCGTTTCCTTTTGCCTGTTACAAACAAATGCACAAAGACATAATACCCTGACCACCTTGTGGTGTAGGGTATAAATACAAGAGCTCTTTGAGCTACAGACGCTCGATTTAAAAGCAAAATATTTAAGCAATATTAAATGATACACCAGTGCAGTATTTTCAAGTGTAAAGTGATACAAGTGATGATGCTCTAGTTATTTCCTCCACTGAACATTGAGATATAAAAAAATGAAACAAAGTCAAAGGACAAAACTATTTTTTTTTTAAATTTTATTGAATGGGAGCAATAAATGTCGGAAATAGCATTAAATATTAGAATATGTTTAGATTTGTTTGAATTGGACAAACGGTCAATGAAACCGTCAAACGCTGCCCGAATGTTGCTTTATGGTATTTTGGCCTATTCCTGGCGAAGCGCTTGCTTGAGGTGATAGAAACTTTGGTATTTTTAGTGCCAACCTTGCTTTCCAAAACACTCCTGACACAATAGTCCAACGTATTGGTATTCGGAGATTTTGATGGCCATGTTTCGCTAGAAATGAAGCGAGGAACCTCATTTTGTAACCATTCTTGGGTGAGGCGTGCTGAGTGCGATGATGCTGAGTCCTGTTGGAATGTCCAAGGTCTGCTGCCAAAACGTTTGCGTGCCCAATTCTTTAATACTCCCTTAATATTTCCGCCATAATATTCGGCATTTATTCTCATGCGACGGTCGATTAATACGAGTGGAGAGCGACCATCGGCGGCCCACACCATCACCATGGCCGGCGCTTGAGTTCTGGTGGCCAACCGAAGGTGCACATTTTCAGCTGACCTCTTTGGCATGTAAACACGATGGATAACGAATGTTTTCTCATCGGAGAAAACGATATTCGGCAGTTCACCACTTTCTTTAGCTCGTTTGAGCCTATTTTCTTTCTATTGTGTTGTAAGTTCTTGCACTTTTTGGAATTTCAATGGCTTTACCCCGAGCTATTTTTTTGCCGACTGGAATATTGCGATATGATCAGCTCACGAGCCATTTTTCGGGCACTGTTGCGCGGGTTTCGAACCATTTCTGCTGATGTTGCTGTTTTATTCCGTCCACTTCCTTGACGTCTGGCTGCGCTACCAGTATCATGGTAACGAGCGATGGTACGAGACACGAAAGTTTTATTCACATTTAAATGCTGGATTTCTCTAACAATAGCAACTTGTGGTTTTCCAGCCAAATATAAAGATATCACACTATCACGCTTGAAGTCCATCACGAATAACTTTTTTTCTGGAAAATTCCCACCGAAATGCTTTTGTGCGCTTGTAAACAATATAATGAGCTGTCACTGTAATAATTTTAACAGCTGTCGGACGAGTGGCTTAGAAGTGACAGGTGTCTGAAGTTGGTTGCAGTTTTTTCATCTCACCCTGTACTATAAGACACTATATACGTATATATACATAAATCCGCTACAAATTTAACGTGTTTCATTTGCATTAATTTGATTTTTTTTTCTCTACATAATACTTATGCTTGAAATGGACAGAATTAGAATAGTGGATAATTTATTGTACAATAGACTCTTCCAAACATAAGTAAAACATGATGTATTACATTGTCTAAAGATATAGATGTCCATAAAAACGATGATTAATTAACGATAATTCTATTTGAAACTACGGATTGCCCCTTTGATCTATACATGTGAAATTCTGTGGAAGAAATTTTATTGTTACATTTTTTGATGTCAGAACATGTTCATCAGCGTATGCTGAATAAATATCTAGAAGCGAAATTACTTTGCCTTTATTATCGAAATCACTGTTTTATAGATGTTCTCTTACCTCTGGCACAAGATTATTTTTGAACCAGTCTAGAAAAAGATTTTGTGTTACCGGTTTGTGCATCAGTATTCTTATAATAACCAACGTTGTTTACACAAAATAACAGTTTTAGCTTTTTTCGTGCACGATTTACTAATCATCTAGCAAATTAAATACAGAAATTCGGAGGTCTAGCTCTTCGCTATTACAGGGTTTACGACAACCTGACGAATATTTGGATACTTTTGTGCATTGTACTACGCATTTCCAAACCCACCTTCTTACCTCCAAGCTACATACTCACAGTGATCCTAAAACTAAAATTCATAATTCTAGTTCTATTTCAAACACTTCCACCATATGAAGATCGCCTAAAACTTATTGGTCTTCCGCCTTTGGAAAAGAGACGTTTTTATACAACTTTTGCACAGTGAAATCTATTCTCAGTTCTTAATAGGTGAATTAAATTTTAATATTCCTTCTCCTAATACCCAAAATTACATAAACTCTCTCTGGCCAAATAAAACTATGAGCATACTAGCTGGCCCGGTCCGTGTTGCCGATCCGTACTTTTAGTATTTTTTAAAGCATAATAAATCGCAGATTTTTTTTATTATATTTAAATTAATATTCATAGCAAAAATGATTATATATGTTCATTGCTTTTAGATATTTTGAATAGCCTGATCTGATTTTCAGGCATAGGCTTTAATTTGAAAAAAAACCTATATGATATAAAACATCTATATTAGCCCCATGTGAAAACTAAGCTCAATTTTTGGTATTTCAAATTAGCTGTAATTTGAAATTTGCATTTCCAACATTTAGAATACCGTGATGCGTGGTATATAGTTTTGTCCACCTCTTTCTCTCTTACGTCCATTACCGTAAAAATGGAATCAATTTAAATTGTGCGTTGGAGACCCCATAAAGTCCATATTTTTCATCATAGTATAATTTAATGACATCTAAACAAATGTTCGGTCCCATGCTACTTTGTAATATTCGTAATTTTTTCATGTTTCTGCCACAATTTGCAACTGAATAAGTTCCAGTTTGACATTTCGGAGTTTATTTCATATAGACCACACAAAGAAACAAAGATGCCGAGTAACGGCAAAAAAATGAAAAAAGTGGCCAAGACTCCAAAATCCAAAAAAAAAAAAAATAGCTTTAATCAAGGATGTTTTGCAAGAATGTTTTTTTTTTTTTTTTCAAATTGCCAACATTTGCCGAAATTAGTATGAAAAATATGGTTAAATTGTAAACTATACTTGAAATTGTGGTTACACGGGGTTATAACCCATATCAAGACCTGCAAAACAATTTAAGATTTATCTTGAAAGTTTAGGAAAAATTTCTGGAATGATATAAATCCCTTTCTTACTTAATGTCCAATTCGCTCTACTATTTTCGCACTCTTTACAATCTGTATTTCACTGATTGCAGTCCCAATGAATTTTGCATTTTGAGTTCTGGACGGATTATTGTCATATGAAAGAAGTAGGTCCACGTTTTTAATTTGAGCCACATAAAGCTTTGTCGGTCATTTTTATTTCTTAAAATGTGTTCGCATCTTCCAGCTAAAGCACGATGTAGGTTCTGGAATTAAAAGCTAGATGCAAATTTTAGACATGAAAAATCACCATTTAACATCGCATTTTTAATATTATTCATTGAGAATGT